GTGTGCTACCAGTGCCTGGACACCGGCCGCCACGGCCAGCACGACGTGAAGCCGCTGGGCGCCGCCTGGAAGCAGCAGAAGGTGAGGCCTCGGGCGGCGGGCGGGATGCGGGAGCTCCTGACTCGGCCTTGGAAACTCCCCACAGGGCCCTCCGGAGACATATTGACTCACATTCACCCTGCGGTCACTAAAGAAAAGCTGCCCACACTTACTGTCCTGGGCCTTGTGGTCTCTCTTCGCCTCAGGTTTCTTATTCTACTCCAAGGACTAGGACCTCTAGGGGCCTGTTGATAAGGCATTATGCTGTCAGCGCAATGGCATGGGTTCGAATTCACCAGCTGTTCGGAGCGAAAGAGTGCAATCAACTCCTGTGCGATTTGCAGCCTCTGAAAACCTGCTGGAGGGTCAGTTATGGGTCTGACCCCATGGTACACACCAGCAACAACAGATGGCCCCTCCTGAGTTAAAGCACCAGGCTGTCTGCCTCGGAAAAGATTCGTTTCCAAATGCAAATAATATAATGAGTGCCTCCCTCACTCTGCCCTCAGTTAAGATGCTTGTCTACACCAGAGTAAAAGCCCCGTCTGCTTGGGTGAGTGGAGGGAGAATTCCCTGTCCTCTGGTCTTCTGCATGGTCCTCATGAACCCTGAACTTGTCTTCTCAGGAAGGGAATCTCCCCACCCAGAGACCTTTAACTCAGTGATTTTGCAGAGTAAGCTCTTGCCAAGATCAGCTCTCAGCCTCTGCAGACTGAGCACCTGCATCAACACACACACACACACACACACACACACAGTAACACACTCAGACACACATACACACAAATACACACACGTGCACACACATACACACTTCTTTCCAACCTGAAAGGAGCTGGAAGACAACATTAGAAACTTGTAATTTCTCATTCCAAGAGACAAAAAGAAGCTCCACATCCACCCAAGCCCTTAATGGCAAAAGCAAGATTAGTTCTAATTCCCACCACAAAGCCCAGAGCCAGCAACTGACCTC